ATATATATATATATATATATATATATAGAGAGAGAGAGAGAGAGAGAGAGAGAAGGAGAGAGAGAGAGAGGGAAGGAGGGAGGTTCAAGGGAAAACCCTCACAAAATGAAAAATTAAGGAACACCCTGGTAAACATTCATCTGGACAGTATTGACATATGCATACAAGTAACTTGTAAGCAATTTGTCCAGTATGCACATGTGCATAACATGCACACTAGCATAAAAACCAAGAAACAACTTCAATTAGTTGTATGCAAATGAACGGTAACCACAATGTTCCTTAGAGGTTTTTCATCTTTTTGCGCTTTTATCCTGACCTACCCTATATATTTCTCATATGTTTAAATAATCTAAAGATAGTGATATGTTTTCATGAGCTGCTTAGAACTGACAAACTTCTGATGGCCTGTTTGTTATGCGCAATTACTTTTAACTTGCATGAGTGAATCACCATTTTGATTTTTCTCATTGTTGTATGACATACATGACAATGGGTGACCTTTTATCTTGCTATACAACTATTATCAACTTGTAGGTTTCACCACATAGTTATGGGGTGTTAACACCTTTGCCCCATTTTTGCCATGCCTCATGTGGATGTTTGCCAACTAAAGTCTTTTTGTTTCTCTATTCACTTCCACTTGAACCCTTTCCACAATAGGACAAAGTCTATGTAACTACTGCAGATTAAGTGTTTGTTTTCTTTCCATTTCTGATTCTCATGACATTAACCGGGAGTGGGACTTCCATGATTTCTTTCGAAGACTACTATCTTCATGATTTCTTCCTATAAAGAGCTTCTCAATAATTGTTATCCCCCTGATGACCTTTTCTTGGCCCTCCTAAAATTGTGTTTTGTGAACTCTTTCAAAACTTATATATCTAGAGGACATATGAGCTATGACATCCACAACCACCTCTGCCACCATCAGGGCTATGAGCTATGACATCCACAACCACCTCTGCCACCATCAGGGCTATGAGCTATGACATCCACAACCACCTCTGCCACCATCAGGGCATCAGGCTAATATGATTCTTTGTTCGTGTAGTTTAATGTCAATTACATTCTTAACCCATTCAGGAAATTACAACCCAACACTTGCTCACTTCTATTAATGTGTTGATGACAACCCAAAACTTTGAAATTTCTTGTTCTTTAATGTAACATGACTAACATCCCGGGCCAACTATACCAGATATTGTCCGCTTTCTCCACCACACTTGGACTCACGGTTTTAAAAAGCGCCTGGTAGAGGAGGTATCCAGTTCCATATAAGGCAACCTTAGTTCCTCTCTCCAACCGATGTGGGATCTTACGTTTACTCTAGTGATTGTTCATTTATTGATGTCAACTTGGCAATATTGCTCACTGTGTTAGTGGCGTTCTGCACCGTCAAATCCTTAATGTAAACAGTTATGCACAAGTAGTGTCTACTATTCCATAGAAGCATTTAGTTTTAATTTCATTGATGTCTTGTACTGTGTGAAACCTCGATCATCATTATTTTGGAATATCAGCAAGAAAATGTTGATGCCTTAGTCGCTTTAGGTTTTTAATTATCTTTTGCTTTATGCAGGAATGGATGCTCAAGTGTCGTACGCGTTTCATGCAGAGAGAAAGCTAAACCCAGAAAAATTCAAAAACCAGTCATCTAACCAGGTGTTGCTTAACTATCAACTCCTATCTGAAATCTGAAATTGAGTAGAATAGCATGTCTTCTTCAGCTACCAAACTGTTTTTCTTCTAAGACAACATTTTATCGGGTACTTGTAGAATAGGGAGAAAATAGTAAAGAAATGCTGAAAATCTGGTTTGAGAGTCAAGTTCCAGCATTTGCATGTTGCCATTCTTCCGAACAATTAACTTAAAAAAAAGATTCCCACACTGAATCATGTTTAGTTCATGGTTTATTTCATCATAAGATGCATCTTCTCACCACTTGTTTAAACTAGTTCTAAATAACTCGTTATGGCACGTTATGGTGTAAAAGACTTGGGTTCGTCTCCATGTTAATCCTTGTGGTTCCATTCTAAGGCTTGGCCCCATTGTAACGTGTTATGGCGTGTTACAACGCGTCATTTGTAAGGTATGGGGGTTTTTAATATATAGTTTGAGGGATACATGATAATTATGTACGAAACCTAATATTTAAATAAACATAAAAAGGAAACTTAAACTAAAAGCCTACATTGGTAAACACTTACTCGCATTCCCATACACGAAGAGTCGAACACTAATTTCTTTGAAAATTGAAGAAAGTAGTGAGTTGAGACTCAAGAGACTTAATCCCGGTTTTGCACACTTGATATCATTTCTTAAAAGTTCTATATATTTGGTATCAATGATTCTTCTTTCTTTTTTAGTTTTATTATTATTCAAAACACTAACATACACAAGTGTGTGTGTGTGTGTATATATATATATTGCCCACGCCTTGAAAAATGTTGTGACCTCGCCATAACTCGTAAGGATTGAGGCCTGACCTCGTCGCCACGCCACGCCACGCCACGCCTCACGTCACATAGAACCTTAAATTTATGTTTATAAAATGTTGCTTATTCTGGCCTGCTTGATAATCTTTGTTATATTTGTCGTTTCTGTCTCTCAAGTCTTTTGCTGATTCTTGTTGCATAACTTCTACCTGATCAGAGTGCCTATGCAAAGCTCACATGTTCACAAGGATGGTTTTGGGCTTCACTTTCTCATCCATCTTCATGGTAAGGATTCGGGTTAAATTTATGTCAAAATTTGAAGATTGTTCTTGGATTCAGTTGCCATATCTTTCCTTTTATTGTGCTACTTTAAAAGCTCATATGTTACATTTCGAAGTTTCACATTAGGTTATGCCTTAGAACTAAAAAAAGTGCTCTTTCCTATTACTATACCTTTTTGGATCTTGTGATAATGATGATATCATATTTAGCATATGTAGAATCTCACATGATTAATAGCTACATTGAATCCAAAATCCAAAATTGTAGTCTTTATATATCGCTATGCTTAGTAACCTTCATTCTTGCTTGACTGACTTTCAAAAAAAGCAATTCCACCGTATAATCACAATAAAGTTCTACCCAAACTGAATAATGAACATTAAAAATATAGAACCAAAATCTTGGATTTTGATGCGCCTCTGCAGTTTTGGAATGCTTAACAGTATTGTTTTATGTAGAGAGGATGATGAGGAATTATATCAAAGATCGATGAAATTTAAGAAACAATATATGTATGTATATATATATATATAGGGGTGAGTTCATTTGTTAACCCAATATATGGTGTTAACTTTGTGAACCAAAATCCTAACCTTTAATCTTTGTAATCTATGGATAAAATTCATCATGGCATTTTTGTAATAAATTAAAAAAGGATGCTTAATAAACATAGGTGAACAATCATGAACAAAGGGTAATTCCGGAAAACAGTAGGGAGATTTCTTTTAGCATTAATTAATTTTTTTCGGTAATTACTCCATTGTTTTGAAACCGACATCAAGCTTTAATTATTCCTTCATTTATTAATATGTAATGTGCAACTTATGAATGGTGTGAATTAATGAACAATTGTTATATATGAGTAGCTTATGAACATTGTTCACCAATGAAAATATAGCATATATGAAAATGTTCATTAGTGAACACATACCTGAATGTGTACGTATGTTGTGACCGGTGAACAGTGAAAGTATTCACCAATGAACAAATTGTCAATGCGAACAATGTTCATTACTAAACATTGAGTGCACGCTCATTCATGTTGACTGCTACTATGTTCATATTAATCATTCATATTACGATACACTAGACACAACGAACTCATTCGATTAAGAATGTTGACTGTTGAATTGTTATTGATTATTTCTCAAAATACATTCGTTTATGAACAATCACAAACAATATAACCTACAACACATTGATAATTTCAAAATGGCTAAATTCAAGGAGTAATGTAACTCCCATTTAAATGTATTAAAGTAACACAAAATATAACCTTACCATTTTGCCCTCAATTATTAATTACATAGGAATCTATGAACTATGGTACTAGATTGATTCCTATTGGTCTAGAGAGTTTGTATATTTAACACAAATGAATTGGTTAACAAAAGATTATACCCCCCCCCCAACACATTTTTTATTTGAAAAAGACAGCAAAATAAACAAGTGAAATAAATTACATAAAAAATTAATGTTTTTCTCGTTAATTTGACATCCACATTGATGTACTTTTTCATCCGCTTTTTTGTGGTTTTTCGGTTTTCCATTTATTTAGTATTTTCCCTTGAACCCGACCCTATACACACACATATATAGAGAGGGAGGTTCAGTGAAAAACCACCAAAAATTGAAAAACTGAGGAACATACTATTATGCACTTGTGTTGCATATATGCATAGCATCTAGATAAACGGTTACCAGGGTGTTCCTCAATCTTTCATTTTTTTCTTGTTTTCCCCTTAACCTAACCCTATATACATACGTACACACACATACATTACATTACTTAAGCATATTGTACTTGTGGTTGAAAACAAGGATATATCATGGAAGGTAACTCATCTAGTTGACTATATGTGTGGCACACTGAAGTAAAATCATATGAACGTTCATTTAATACAAAATGCTATTGTTTTCAATAAAGTATATAACATTTACGGGGCAGGTTCCTTTAGGAACCCCAAATTGTTTAGGAACCTGCCCACAACGTGACACATGGCATATTCATCAAGAATATGAATGTGTTATTCATCATGAATGTGTGATTCATGATGAATGACACGTCCATATTCATTATGAATGTATTATTCATGATAATTATTCATCCTAAAGAGGGACACGTGAGGGCACGTTGTGGACGGTCCCTGGTTCCTAATCAATTTTGGGTTCTTAAGGGAACTTCCCTCTAATCTGTTTACATATGGCAAATGAACTCACGCACCCTCCTCATCTTTGTTGTGATTTGAACCCATGACCTCCTTGGCCCCAGAGGTTGGGCTCTAACGGTAATCTGGACACTGCTAGGCCAAAGGCCCTTTACCCCTTTTGTTGGAAGTCTTATGGGTCTCGAATTCAGCAATTCATGTGAATATTACTTGAAATCTTTTGTATGTCTAACTAGCTGCCGATGGGTTATTGAGTAGAGTCGAGAATCACATTACGTGCTCTTATGACAGGAATATAGGACAACTGACAAAGGTTTGGATCATGAGAAAGCCAGGTCATTGGGAAGTCCTCGCCATACCTCCCACGTAAGTTTGATGGCCCTATCTCAACTTTAATTCTTCTAATTGCTGCTTCTGATTCATCTTTAAAGATTTAGGGGCTGTTTTGTTGGTTTTCCATTAGTCCTGTATGGATAAAGAGGTCTGTGTAGATTAATTTGTCTATATAGGTTGGGAAGGTTTTTCATAGATGAAAGGAGCGTGTTTTTGAATTGGGAGGAACAGGTTTGGAAAAAAAAAACTTTTCTGCATAAAGCTCCCCCTTAGAAGCTTACCGTATAAGCCACTTTTTATATCATTAAGCCACTACCAAACAGTCATCTATAGCTGACCAAATAAGCTGCGAGTCCCGTTAAGCTTATCAAGCTGCTAAAAGACAGTCCCTTAATCACAATGGGTAGTTTCACTAAGATTCAGTAATTGGCATCCCTGTTGACTGACATTATTATAACATAATATGCCACAAGAAAGTTAACATAATATGTGTAACATCACTGGCCAACCGTACCAGATATTGTCCGCTTTATTTGTACCTGAGACTCGTGGTTTTTGTTTATTAGCAGCTTAATGAGCTTAATGAGACTCCCAGCTTATTCGATCAACTATATACGACTGTTTGGTAGTGGCTTTATGATGTAAAAAGTGGCTTATTCAGTAAGCTTCTAGGGGTAAAGCTTTAAGCCGAAAGTCTAACCTTCCCCCAATGAAAAACAACGCTTCTTCCATATAAATGAAAACCTTCTCATTCTCTACAGACACATCAATCCACACAAACAACTTTATCCATACAGAACTTGATGGAAAACCAACCAAAAAGGCCCTTGTTCATTATGTTTTCAGCAATATTTTATTTTAATTCAGTTAGAGGCTCATTAACCAACAGCTATTCGATTGTTTATGTAGAATACGGTCGATCATTTGCCTCAACTTGCCGAGCTTTTCTGGTGGACTCAATCCATGGGGTATACCAAGCCGAAAGAGACTTCGTCTGGTTAGCCTTTTGACTTCTCTTCTATGATCTCGATGAAATAGATACTTTTTTGAGCTTTTAGATTCAGCAGCTGGTACTTAAATAGACACATCTTTGCATATATGTATTCAACAGAAGGAGTGGACTCCTCCGTACGTTGATGATGGATTTCTTGAGGTTGTTGGATTCCGAAATGCTTGGCATGGTGCGGTTTTATACACTCCAAGTGGACACGGGACTCGGCTTGCGCAGGTACAAACTCATTATTAGCATGTTCTGATATCAAATGCATCAAAAACCATTTTTGGGCCTGTTTTGTTTGACGGAATGTTTTCAAGGGATTTGGATTCATGGAAGGATTTGGAATTGGGGACGTTTGGAATCTTTGGTGGGTTTGATTTCTAGGATTTGGAATGGAATTGACTTACCTTTTTATTAATTGATAAACAAGTGTTGTAACATATTTTAACAAGTAAATTATGTTTTTCGTCCCTGTGGTTTGTCAAAAATTGCAATTTTTGTACATGTAGTTTAGAATTTGCAGTTTTCGTCCCTATGGTTCATAATTCATTGTTATTTTCATCCTTATGATTTACAATTTAGGGACTAAAATTGCAATTTCTAAACCATATGGACTAAAATTGAAATTGTTAACAAAACACAGGGACGAAAATGGTAATTTACTCTATTTTAAAACATTATTACAAAAAAATCATATGAAATCCCACGAAATACCAACCTCCCCCATGAGATTGATTTCTAAATCCCATGTTTGTGGGATTTCATTGAAATCCCGGCATTTCAATTCTAGACATCCTTTTAAACCAAACATGGGATTAGAATGGAATCCGTTTCCAAATCCAACCAAATCCCGTGGACCAAACGGACCCTTTGAGAAAGTGAAGAGGGTGAAACGCTACCTATTCTTACGTGAACTTATCGTATGAAAAATTGTTCTACTCTTTAGGGTAGAGGACATGTCTATGTACATCCCTCCCAAGATCCTACCAAAGTGGAATATATTGGGTCAGTTTCGTTAGTTATTTGAATCCCTCCCCCCTCTTTTTTGTAGGCAAGAGCGATTCGTTTTGAATTCCAAAAGAGCACAGCCGACCATACGTTCATGAGGATGGACGGGGAGCCGTGGAAACAACCTCTACCCACAAAAGATGACACTGTTACGATTGAGATTTCTTCGTTTGGTCAAGTGAACATGTTAGCCACCGGGATCTACCCGGCCAAGAGTATCAATGACCCATTGACCCCACGCACTCTCAAAGGTAGCGAGGGTGATAGCGATGATGAACCCGAGGTTGTAGAAATCTCGGAAGAGAGAAAAAAGTTTGGCGCAACTTCTAGTTTCGAACTACCAAAAGACTTTAACCTGTCTCAAGTCAGTTAGTTTTTTGTTCTGTTATATTATGTTCAGGTACGAAATTTGTTCATTCTTGGGGTCCAAATGCTAGTATATGTATTTTCTTGATTACCAAATCTAATTGAGGACCCTATTGTAAATTACTAGTTAAACTTGTATATTAGTAACTAGTAAGCAATGAAAGAGGCTCTTCGTGTCCATTTTTAGCAATCTCTTAAGTTTTTATGTTCTTTCTTCGCAAATATCGAAATGCGTTGAGGCGCAACAGTTGACTGGGTCCGGCCCGAGGAAACCTTTGCACGCCTCTGTTACCTTTTGGGCCGAAAAATAAGTTTTAAACCCACTGTATTTTTTTTGTCGAAGGACTTAACCCAACACCTTACTGCACAAGCCGACGACAACCATTGTGTCTGCGTTACCCAAGGCACCCCTCTTTCAAGAGAATTCGTCAGGTCTAGTTTGTGTACGTCTCACCCCAAATCTCTAGTTTCTAGTTAGATGCCGAAAATCAAATTAAACGAAATGGGTATGTGATTTGAAGAACCCGTTTATCCAAAAAAAATTCTATCTGATCCGTAGAGTAACCACTCTTATCGATTCCAGTTCGATGCCGAAAATCTAGAATTGATAGGGATTAATGCCAACCATTTATCGTAATCCGTTCATTCACAGGCCCATTGTTTATGAATACATTTCTTTTATAACGTTTAATTGTAAAATACGTTTTCATTTCTTTAAAAAAGATCCATTTCCCAACTTAAATACGTTTTTATACCGCACTTTTAAATAAATAACTTTATGATTTTTGTTTACCCATTTGGTCAATTTTGACCGGTCCTAATGGGGTTTCTTTTATCGGGTTTGATAGTCGTCTAAAAAGAACGACCCTAAACGGTTATTCAAAAAAACTCGTAACTAGGTTTAAGTTTAACTAACGGAGACTTACTAGTCATAACTGGGTCCCATCGATCCCAGCCCTTTCGACGTAACTGGTTACATGTGGTCATCTCTACCAATCTGATCCAATTAAAATTTGGTATGCAATAATGATCAGTTTATTCTAATTAAATCAATCAATTTTAATTGTATTAGAAGACTTTTCTACACATCCCTAAGAACAAAAATAGCATCCAAGATAGGAGGGATGAAATCTGTAAAAAGTATTATCCATAAGGGGCAAATTTGTAATAAATTAAGAGAGACAAAGAATAAGAGAACACCCCATGGTAATTTACTTTTATTTTCTTGAGTAAACTACAAATTTTGTCCCTGTAGTTTGCCGAAAATAATACTTTTTATTCTTATAGTTTTGAAATTATAAAATGGTCATCGCGGTCTGCAAACACGTCCATATTTGGTCTTTTCCTCTAACGACCATTAAAACATTCCATTAAATAAGAAGCATTTTTCTCTTTTTATCGATTTTTTTGGTCTTTTATCTAATCACAATCAGGTTTATAGTTTTGGTTTGTGCTATTTTTATTGGATTAAAGAAAAAAAATCAATAAAAAAAACGAAAATGCCTCTGATTTCACGGATTTTTTAACGGCCGTTAGAAGAAGAGACAAAATCCCGAGTTTTTACCGACTACGATCGCCATTATGTAATTTAAAAAATACAGGGACGAAAAAAATACTACTTTTGACAAATAAGAACCAAATTTGTAATTAACACTATTTTTTATTATATTTTTTGTAATTATTTATAGAATAAATTACAATTTTAGTCCTTGTCGTTTGTTAAAATTTTCCGTTCTTGTTCCTGTGGTTTAGAAATTTCCATTTCTCATCCCTATAATTTGCAATTCTATTACTATCTTTGTCTCTGAACTAATTCTCATATTTAAGTAGAAAACAGTAAAGGATACTAAAAAAACAATAAATTATAAATCATAAGAACATAAATTACAAAAAAAATATAATTTCTAAACTGTAAGGATGAAAAATGCAATTTTTAACAAACCATAGGGATTAAAAATGTAATTTACTCTTATTTATATACAAACTCCGCCCACAGGGCCACTAGAATCCGCGGAAAGCGACTTTGAACCAACCGCCTGTTTGGCCGTAAAACTCGAAAACCACCGGCTTCCAGCCTCCTGTTTTCACCATTTTTGCTCCATATTTAACCCGAAAATCTCCAATTCCCAAATCACAGCAAACGAAATTCACTTCAAAATCTCATCTAAATCTGATTACGTTTCCATAATCTGCAATCGATTAAGATCTACCGGAATCCGGGATGGCTAACAGAGCTGCAATTAAAGCTTGGTTGGTGGTCGCCAGCATCGGAGCAGTTGAGGCGTTGAAAGATCAAGGTGTAGCAAGATGGAACGGTCCTCTAAAAGCACTTCACAATCACGCCAAGACGAACATTCTAGCTTCTTTGAACAAATCCGTTGCCGATCGATCTGCCAGATCCCTAATTGTTGCTTCTGAATCGTCGTCTGCTTCATTGGCGGCCAGGAAATTCAGATCGAAGAAAACGAAAGCGGAATCTATGAAAAAAGTGATGGATATGAACTGTTTTGGTCCAAATACGGTTAGATTTTAGGTACGCACTTCTCAGATCCAGAAGATAGTAGATAATAAACAACACTACTACAAATGTTAACATGCCTCTGTATTTTTTAATTGGTAATACATGCAATATTTTTGAATCTCGATCAAAGTTTATAGCCAATTGTTTCAGAAATTTGATGAATTATGACTTCATACAACGTTTCTAGCTTCATTCATGAACAAACGGTGCCCTAAAAATGGTGGTTTGAATAGGATTCCCAGCGTCTAATGTACATTATTATTTTCTTGAAGGACTCTTGATTCCTTGTGTTTCTCTCTTATGCTTCTGTTTGAAGCCATCGCCGCCGGCCGCCGGTGGTTAACGACGACGAGGAAGCGGAGGAAGAAATGTGACATTTGATTAATGCATTAATATTTGTATTTTATAAATAATTAATTTTTTGTTAAAATAAGTTTTTGAACATTTTCCTTAGATTATTTATTTAGAAAACAAAAAAATAATTACAAATTGAAATAATAACAAAAAATAATATGTACGAGTGTTTGGGATTGTTTATAAAAACAATTTATTGACTTATTCCGGTGTGTAACCGTTAATAAACATTTTTGAGTGTTTGGATAAACAATTTATACCGGTGTCAAACCGGTAATAAGGAGTTTTTGAAGAAATTAAATCCTCATGACTTATAATAAGTTAATAAGTGTTTTTATAAAAAACATAAGTTGTTTCAAATAAGCAATTTCAAACACCCCATAATATGAATATTCCTTGGATGAATTAATAATGTATCCTATGAGTATTCGTTTTATTTTAAATAAAATTTAATTATAATTAAAATTGGTAGATTCTTCAAAAATAATGTCTCAATAATGAATAACTTAATATACAATATTATAATAAAAATTTAAAAAATACATCGTTATTTTTTATCTGAAAAAATCTATTTAGAGATGCATATGTCAATTGACGTTATAGATTATTCTTATAAGTTCACATATGCATTTTCAGATGGATTTTTTCAATGATTCAAATATGAACTATCATTTTTATCTTCTCATGATATTTAGCCTTATTTGAACCTCCCATCAAAATAATAACGCTCTATTACTATTCCGTATGACCATTTTGACTTATTTACCTAAATTGAGTTGATTTTAGGTTATATCTAGACAAAAAGTTGATTATCGACAACCTGCAGATGCTTTGTGTCTTGAGTCGGGTTCGTTATCAAATCCTTAGCTTTTTGAAGCACATTATTTGATCTTCTTTTCTCTTAACGATGAGCTCTGTATCCGGGTAACATCTCTGTATCCGAGCTCTGGTTTCAAACAACTTTCTAGATTAAGTCTTCTTGCTCTAATAACATCAATGTAAAAGGACATTTTTTTGGCATACCCAACAGCTGAGATTAGCATGAACGAACCCGAGACCTTATGGTATTTAAGGAAAGTCATCTCATCCATTTATCAACTCAACTATACACTAAAGATACTTTTAAGTTATATTATTTGACAACCGATAAAATTTGTAAAATATTGCTAAAAATAATATGGATCAATCATCAAAGCGAGTCGAATGCCGCCAAGAACATGTATTCAATTATTACAAGTTCCAATTTTTTTATTAAAAAAAAAGACTTAGGGGCCGTTTATCAACCAGTAAAATTTAACACTATTATGTACTTACCGGGTAAGATTTTAGTTAACCAAAACGACATAATATACAACAATTTATCCGGTAAGTGCTTACCGTGGTAAAAGTCGTCGTCATCGCTTACCGGGTAAGACTCTTGATCCATGTCTCGTTCTTACCGTGTAAGATCAGTGGTCCTTACTATATTCATCTGGTGAGGTAATGTTACTTAGTAAGCACTTACCCGGATAAATGTTTGATGAATATATATTTTTAATTAAATATAATTATGGTAGCGTTGGCTTGCAAGTTATGGAACGAAGATCTACAAAACTATATTGAAAATTATAATTGATTGGATAAAAAAATTGGTACCATAATCCAACATACTAAAAAGTACATTTTACAAGTTATGGAACAAGATCTACAAAACTATATTGAAAATTTATAGGGGTATCTGTCAAAAATGACCGTATTTTTTGTTTTTCTTACAAAATGACCACATAAATCATCGACAAAAAATCGATTCAGCATTTCAGTATAAGTAAAATTAAAAAATCGAGACGGATCTTTTAATGGTCGTTCGAGGTTCTGTACGCCTGCTCAACTTATTTTCATGAGTAGAATTTTTTTTGGTATGAAAAGTGCATCGTTAAAGTTTGAGTGATGCTTCAAGACATATTAGAAAATACAAGAAACATTTATGAAAAAGTCTCTTGAAATTAACAAAAAACCCAAAAAGTAGCTTTAAATCAACCAAAAAACTTAAAAAAATATCCAAAAACAATGAAATTCAACTGAAACGAAATCAAACAATTTTGCAGACTTTTTTATGAAAATATGAACAGAAGAAGTATTAAGAAGATTAAATTTGGAGTGATATTTATTTAAGACGTTAAAAAACAAACGAGATTATTAGATACATAATCTTAAATGAGATTTTAATTAAAAGGCAAATTGTATGAAAAAATAACGTACTTTAACTTGATTCTTATTTCAGGTAACTACTTTTAAAACTTTTATTTTGATACCTAAAATGTAAAGTTTTAAACATTTAAGTATCTTGATAACCGGTTGATGACTAATTTTAGATTAAAAAAATCCATGTCATTGACCACGTCAGCAAATAATACTAAGTTGAATATCACATCACTCAGCATATCAGCATGATAACTGGTTATCTGGACACTTAAATTTTTAAAATTTTACATTATAAGTATCAAAATAAAAGTTTTTAAAGTATCTTATCCAAAATAACAATCAAATTAAAATACGTTATTATCAAGAGTATATAAACTCATGTATAAACAAGAGCTCATTTCATTTACGTTAATGACTCTGGACTGGACAACGTAGTTTGAAAGAAACCATGGTCAGTAAATCCGTCCGCTTCCCCTGGTTTCCATGAACAAAGAGAATTCTCTCTCCTCCTATAAAGTGTTCCTTCTGTAATCAAAATTCAATCAAAGATCATCAATCATACATCTCCATTACCTGTTAGCGATCCAGAAAGCGATTAAAAATGTGCGGTGGCGGATGCGGTGGCGGTGGCGGTGGCGGTGGCGGATGCAAGTATCAAGCTGCTTTCGACTCTATTCAGATGCAAAACCACCTGGAAGCTTCGTTAGCCGTTAAGCGAGATGCCGGAAAACGATTTTCCGGCGAGATAAAACAGGAAAACAGAGATCAGAAGCGAATCAGAGAGCTAGAGAAGACTGAAAAGGTACTCCACTTGATTCTGTGGGGACCTAATTGATTCTACTATCTGTTTATCTTCTTCTTATGTTGTTTGTATCCTTATAATCAAAAAATACGTAAAAAAACTGATTTCTGAATCTCTGGATATTTTTGATGAACGAGAAGAAGAAATCAATGGTTAACCTAATAGATTTAGCCAACGGATACACATACAAACTAAATTCTATATAGATTTAACCTAATTAAACCACTCTACCTCCAAAATCTACAGAAAGAAGAAAAAAAGTTGACCTAAAATCTCAATGACAAGATCATGTACAGTAAATAGCTAGAGAGCCGATCCAATTTCATCATTGAAATAGATACGATCTAATCATAATCAATTCCGAAAAAGTTAGAAAAAATTATGAGATGATTTTATAGATTTTCAGGCAAGTGAAAGCGTTGAGCGCCGAAAATATGACGAGATCCGTGTTGTTGGATGAACACAGCCATGGCACATTTACTGCTGCTGAAACCTGGCCATAGTTTGAAATCGACGGTTCCTGTGACTGTTTTTTTCTCCGAGAGGTCCTTGACGGAGCAGAGCTTTTGAAGCCTTCTAACGACGAAATCATTGGGGAGGATTCGGCCTTGGTTGGCGCCTTTCCGGCAGTCGGTGATGAGTCCACTGTCGAAAAGTGAGACCATGATGTCTGCACCTTTGCTGTCTACCTTCGCCCTTAATGATCCTGTTAGGGATATTTGTAAGGATTCCGGTGCCGGCCGTCGGAATTTGGCCTGATTCAGAGCAAGTATATGCATGCATTACAAAACACAATTAATTAATATACACTATAAAAACGCCTTATATATTTATTTAAATATAAGGAAATTGACCAAAATTAGGGATGTTCGCGCTTGTGTTTGGACTGTTTAACCCCACAGACCACAAACCAAACCGTAACGACGGTTTATAAAATTTTCAAATTGAGCGGTTTGATATCAAATGCCCAGATCGATCAAACCAAACCATGAAAAAGCAGTCTGGTCTGACCGGTTTAAGCGGTTTGGACCTTTAATGGACTTCAAATATTAAACTTAAAAAAATATGTAATTTATAATTTTAGATTAAATATCCATTTTGATTACGTTAAATATTAGGTTTTATGTTGGACTTGGGGTTTATTTGAGTCATAGCCAATAAGTTAAAGAAAGTTGGACTTGCTAATACTAAAATAAATAATTAAATAACATATATATATATTTGGCGGTCGGTTTGGTCCAAACCGTCCAAAAAAGTTTCCAGACCGCAGATTGGACCGGACTGCCCGGTTTTGCTATTTTCCAAACTAAACCAAACCGCTCAAACCGCCAAAAACAGTCCGGTTTGACTTGGTTCGGCTAGTTTGAACGGTTTAATGGTTTTTTTGATCACTCCTAACCAAAATGGTTCACCTTTCCAACCAAATAACGCAAAAAAAATGAGAATTCAATGAAAAAAGTGGATAAAAAGTGAATTTTGTTAGGAAGATCGACTATTTTGGTCAAATTCACCTAAATATATCGTAGGAAACCTAAATGTATTAAAAAGAGATTTCAACATATATTGAAAAGAAATGATTCAAATCTACCTGAAAGGCCGGAGTAGGGTATCGGGTTGCAGCAGCAATGGTGGAGAGCAAAGCACGTTCATCGTTGGCGATGCATTGGGTCCGACCCTGAACAATTACCTGAGGCGTATACGTGGTGTCGAGATTAAAAGACTCAACGTAACTCTTTTGTCTAACCGTCCACTGGGTCGACCCGAACGGATCTTTCCACCCGTTATAATCCCAATAGTCCACGTGATACGCCATTAATATTACCGGCACCTCTAGCTCGAAGTCTCCCCTCCCTAGCCTCGTGAACAACATCTCCGCCTCTCTTGACGTGGCGCATCCTTGCGATGAGAATAGCTCCACCACTACCGGTCCTCCTTTTATCAACTCATCAGCAGTCGGATAACTGGTGGCGGTGGTGGCGTAGTAGTGTGGAAAGCGTCGTTTGGTGCCGCCGTCAAACGAGGAGGATAGATGGCCGAAGCAGGAGAAGAGACCACGCACCATTATCACGTGTTGCTTCTCCGGCGATCAAATTGCTCCCGGAGATTTAACGAATTGTTTGATCAGATAAGCCCCCTCTTTGTTTTCTCTATTTGTCAATTCTCCTTTTCTTTTGTTTTTTGATCGCCATTGGAGGGAAAAGTTGAAGAGAAGAAGAACAAGAACAAGAATGGTGGAGAGAGAAAGGTGGCGAATGAAATGGTAAGGAATATAATTTCATCAAAAATCATTTCAACAGCTGTTTCACCAAATGTAGCTTTCCTTAAAGATGTACCCAAAAAGCCCAGCTCGAACCCGGCCTCGTCGGAAAAACTCGGGCCAGATCGGGCTTAAACCCCGTTCACGCTGAATTTATTGGGGCAGGCCCAACCCTGAACCCTGAAAAAAAAAATCTGGAAAAGCCCGACCAAGCCCTTTTTCAATCTCAAAGCTTGGCTTGTTTGACGCTGGCGTATAAAAGCCTGGGAATTTTTTCTCATTGAAAACATGCTCGGTAAGCTCGGGATCCGGCTTCGGTCAAAAAAGCCTGTGCAATAACCACAAGGGTGGTAACTGATTGGTTTGAGCTTGGCTCCAAAGGTCAAAAGTACCTCCTAGGTTCAAATTCAAGGAGGAATAAAAAATCCTTTTGTGGCACGGAGGTTCAAATGCAGTGACTCCAGGCTATCTGCAAAGCAGGTGGTCGTCCTGGGATTAGTCGGCTCGCATAGCGGGTTAGATATCCAAGTTAATAAAAAAAAAACATGGGCATTGTGCATCTCTAATATAATTATATAGAAGTTGGTACTATATGGTAGTATCGTGGTTTAGGATTTCTAATAACCAGTACCAACCAATTTCACATGGTATGGTAGTACCAATTGAATTTACACGGACGGTCAAATCTTTTTGAAGACCTTGTTACATATATATATATATATATATATATATATATCGATACTATCGATCAGCTCGACGAGTAATAAACATAACAATGTGTACAAAAAATTAACATATGAAATTCGGAAGGTGAATTCTATTCATACCTCGTATATGGGTACATTTTACCTTCCTAACACTTTCAGAAAACTTTCATAATCAGCCCTTATAGTTTTCATAATTAGATATAAAGGTATCAATTGCAATTAGTTGGTAATACCGTACGAGTTATGCAAACTTGGTTGGTACACGGTATTGGAAGTCGCGTACCATACAGTAGTACCATTGTACCGACTTATGTAATTTGATTCTGAACGTTAGAATGTCTATAAGTTATATTTGTTACAATTAAAAACTCTTAAGCATTACACGTGTTACTTAGAAACTCAAAAATTTGAACAAAATAACAAGTTTTCATATATGTATTTGAAGTTGGTATAAAACCAATGCTAACAAAAAAAAAAAAAAAAAAACTTAGTACCAAGTAGAGTTGGTTGCTACACGGTATAAAATCTTACGTACCAATTATAAGGGAAATTGATAGAAATAACCAATCAACAAAGTGGGTTCCACATTTTAGCCATTTTCTAACCCAATTTCATTTTTTAGTCGATCCTTACGCGGATTGCTTACATATATGCTTAAGGATTGGTTTCTTACGCATGTTGTAAGGTTTTTGAATCTTTTTTTTTTATTAACCTGGATATCCAACCCGCTATGCGAGCTGATTAATCTCAGGGCGACCACCTGCTTTGTAGATAACTCGAAGTCACCGCATTTGAACCTCCGCGGCCACAATGGGATTTTTATTCTCCTTGGTTTTTGAATCTTTACACAAATGTGTAAGGTTTCTACATAAGAATTCTGAAACCACCTATCAACTTTAACTATTTATATAAATTTTTCTAATTATAATTGATTAATATACAATATTAATAAATAAATAAATAAAAAGCTTAGATACCATATCAAATCCATTTACAGATAAAAAAGGATAGGGAAAATATGAAATGGAGATATGAGAAATAATTAGAAATGATGTGATTGGTGGATATGAAATTGCTTATTTGTCACCAACCCATAATTGAATATGAACCACAAGTCTGTAAATTCCCAAATGCCTACACATACCCTTTCTTCTACCACTTTTACTTCCAAACTCTTTGAAAGCTTTTCCTTTCCATCATCAATGGCATCCATGGCTGCAACAACTGCTGCAAGCTCCACCACTGTTGTCAGAGCCACCCCATTCTTGGGTCAAACCAGACCCTCCAATGTCAACTCTCTTAGAGACTCTGTCTCCATGGTCAATGCCAAATTCACCATGGTATTCTTTATCTCTATTTTCTATCTATACATATATATATATATATAAAAGGGACTTTATGAATCTCTCTGAATAGTGAGATTATTGAGAACCGGAGAACTGATGAATCATGTGGTATTTCTTTTGATTTTTTTTTTTCAGTAGTAGCTAAAATTTAATGTAGTGATTTAACATATATTTGTTTCACATGTAGTTGGTTTACATTGTGAAACTTTTTGGTTGTGTCTGTGAAACAAAAAGTACACCTAAAAAGGGTTCACAATATGAACCGAATATATATGAAACAAATACATTGTGAAACACATATACAATGATCGATAAATTAGATACCATACTAATATGAAAAAATAACGAGTGAAACAAATCATTAAGGTGAAAGTTTTCAGGGATCTCATGTTTTGGAGTTCTCAAATGATTAAAATATATATATATATATATATATGTGTGTGTGTGTTTGTGTGTATGTATATATATATATATATATATGTATATGTGTGTGTGTATAGACATGGGTGTAAATGATTCGAGCTTTTAACGAGCTATTCGGACTCGAGCTTAATAATTTTCGAGCTCGATTCGATGTCGGATACAAAATAAAACTTGTTTAAGTTAATGAGTTGAGCTCTGTAACACCGATGTTTGACTAGGCTCGTTCAAAAGCTTGGTTAAATTTTTGAGTTGAACAGAGCCGAGCCATTCAATCAGACAGTTTCCAAGCCAGAGCTAAATATGATCATATGTTCAGAATGCACAAAGTCAAGATAAAAAAAATCGACCTCAAGACAATAAACGAGTTAATCGATCTTGCGTTTGAGCCCGTAAACGAGTTTATACAACTTGAATTCTAAGTATAATGTATAACTCAAATTTGTGAAACGAGCATCGAGCTTGATCTCGAACTTTGAAAAAATATTCGAGGTTGAACCTAATATTATTTTTCTCGGGTTGAGTTAGAATAATCTGCTACTCGACTCGCTCGTTAACACCCGTACATGGCTACCAGATCAACTTCAATAAATTGATGCTATGTTTTGAAATTCAACAGGGAAATGACTTGTGGTACGGACCGGACCGTGTGAAGTACTTGGGACCCTTTTCGGCTCAGACACCATCGTACTTGAGCGGCGAATTCCCAGGTGACTACGGCTGGGACACCGCTGGCTTATCAGCCGATCCCGAGGCTTTTGCTAAGAACCGAGCTCTTGAGGTAATTCATCCCGTCAAATTAGCTATACAACGTTAACTTCAATCTAGACGAATCCTAAGACACCATCATACAACCGTTTTCAGGTGATCCACGGCCGATGGGCAATGCTCGGAGCATTGGGATGCATCACCCCAGAAGTCCTCGAAAAATGGTTGAAAGTCGATTTCAAGGAGCCCGTTTGGTTCAAAGCCGGAGCCCAAATCTTCTCCGAAGGCGGTCTAGACTACTTAGGCAACCCTAACCTCGTCCACGCCCAAAGCATATTAGCCGTCCTCGGTTTTCAAGTCATCTTAATGGGCCTTGTTGAAGGGTTCCGTATCAACGGGCTCGACGGTGTCGGAGACGGGAACAACCTCTACCCGGGAGGTCAGTATTTCGACCCTTTGGGCCTTGCGGATGACCCGTTAACATTTGCCGAATTAAAGGTGAAGGAAATAAAGAACGGGAGGCTAGCAATGTTCTCAATGTTCGGATTCTTCGTTCAAGCAATAGTGACCGGAAAGGGACCATTGGAGAACCTTTTGGACCATTTGGATAACCCTGTGGCTAACAATGCGTGGGTCTATGCCACCAAGTTTGTGCCTGGTTCATAAGTTTTACGACTTGTTAATTGTTATGTATATTTTATGAACCCGAAACCGGGTTTTTTCCAAACTCAAAGTAGTAGATCGATCCGTGTGTTGAAAGAAGTCGTCGAACCGACATCAAATAACAAACGGAACTTGGAAAAGGGGGAATACGAGCGACGGATCAAACCACCTTAAACCAATATATATCTCACTCGAAAGCAGAGTAACGAGAGTCTGAACCCAAAAAATTTAAAATAAACCACAAGGGTGGTGCCTAATTGGTTTGAGCTTGGTTCCAAAGGTCAAAAGCACCAAAAGGTCTCAGGTTCAAATCCAAGGAGGAATAAAAATCTCCATGTGGCCATGGAGGTTCAAATGCGGTGACTCCGGGCTATCTGCAAAGCAGGTGGTCACCCTGAGATTAATCGGCTCGCATAGCGGGTTGGATATCCAAGTTAATAAAAAAAATTAAAAATAAAAGGAAATAAAGATTAAACCATGTAAAATGATATTAAATAATAAGAGTCCTAAAAATCCCAATTACATGAGACACAACAACTCTGTTCCATATAGCACAACAAGAAAACAACAAAGAAGTCGAACCATCTAGTTTTATACACAAACCGACCCCGACCAACCGGTTCGATCAGCCACACCACGAGCCTAACGCAACCACGGTTCTAGCCGTGTGGGTAGGAGCCAATCCCTCGACCGGTGCCACAAAAAACGATCCACAAATCACCGGGTCCACCTCTCTCGATCCAGAAACGCTCACCGGCAACAAGGTTCCAAGCATGCCGACGCTTTTAGCAGCTCTTGAAGATAATATTTTCGACATGTGCTTAACGGAAAGTATGTAACTTCACACTGGTGGCCGCTCTTTACCCCTCTTGCTTAACTTCCCCCACCAGTTTCTCGCCCGCCTATCACCGCCGGTGCCGATGCTACCGCCGACGCCACTGTTACTCCTACCGTCGAAATCGCCACCATATTCGGCATTTATACCCTTCACGAGTCTTGATTTGGCTTCTCGTAGCCGATGCTTGTACTCTTTTTTCCACGTCTCGAATTTCCGCTTCAGGGTTCGGTACTCCTCGATTTGTTTCGTAGAAGGCGGGCGTCCGGGTTTCACGTCCGTAACTGCCTTGGCATCTTCATCGAAAATCTGTTTTTTCTGCTCAAACTCCTTGTTTAGGTTATCGAGTGTGTCGGAAACAACACCGTTGATTTCACGTCGATTGTTCCCGATTCTAAGGGGAGCGATTTGCACGGGAGTTTGAGTTCCCGATACATTATCCTCGGAATCATAACAATGGGGCGACGGTGATCGGTCGCGTCTTCCAAGTTGCTCATAGGAAATGTCGGCACCGAGAGTCTTCTTGGCTTCCGCAAGACTCATCTGCAACCATAGAAACCACCGACAAGTAATAGAAATGAGCCCGGTTTCTAAACGGAACTGGTCGTTTTATCAAATTTCAAAAACAAGAGATGTTGCAATCTTCATGACACATCCCACACTACAACAAAATCAGCTTTATAGGACGTCAAATATGTCTAGGGGTCTGTTCGTTAGCAGCTTAATGAGCTTAATAGAACTCACAAAATTTTTTGGATCTTCTATATATATGATTGTTTACTAGTGACTTAGAGATATAAAAAGTGGCTTATTCGGTAAGTTTCTAGGGGGAGTTGTATGCAGAAAGCCATGTTTTTTCCCAAACTGCCCTTACCAATTAAGAAACACGCTCTTTCCATCTATAAAAAAATCACCAAACAAAAATCTTTTCAATGAATACAGACATATTAATCCCCTAAATGTCATAATAGACTGCTTTATAAGACTTAAGTTTATATGACCAAAGAATTGTATGTCCATCTAAAAGTGTTACAATAAGTTGATAGAACGTTTTTGGGCGGCTTAACAAAAAAAAATATGACACTTTTGAAATAAACGTCTTATTACTCTTTTTGACATTATCTGATAGTGTCTACAACACCCGAAGCAATTATAACGATAAATAGGTAAACTCACTTGTAAAGATGCCATCTGACTTTGCCACGTCTCCTCTACCGCCTTCATCTTCGTTTCGTATTCTAACCACCGTATTTCAAATTGTCGTATTTGCTCCCGTAATGCCGTGTTTTCCTGCTCTCTTTCGCTCAGGGACGATTCGGCTTTCACTACTCGCCTTTGCAGCTCTTCAACATTCTGCGGCAAAAATTGTATATTCTCTTCCGACAGATCCTACACAGCAACGAAAGAGTTATGTGTGTGTACGCAGACTGCGGCAAAAAACGAGAAACTGCAATACCGATGCATAAATAAAAGTACCTTCGATTCAGAATTTCTACAGCGAGACTTTCGCCTGCTTCTTGAACTATCGAGAGCTGATTTCTTCCATCTCTGCAAGTGGTTGAAATACCTTCGGGCCAACCACCCCCGAACCACTGTGAAAAATAAGGATGTTTGGTTAAGCAAGTCGGCAATTGTTTAAACATTGAGGTGCGTTTGGTATGCGGGACAAGACAGTACAAAAACTTGTCCCACGTCATAGCACTGGGATAGGATAGGACAGTACAGTACAAAAAATTGTTGTCCCACTTCAGGCTACATGACAGGACATTACATGACATGACATGGCAGAACATGACAGTAAAAAACTTGTCCTATTAGACCGGGATGGAGCAGGATATGACAGTAAAGTACACAACCTTGTCTCAGGGAGACGATACAAGATTGGTAAATTACCAAACTACCCATGCCAAATGAAAACCCTAAAACCTTCCAAGAATTCTTTCACCCGCCCACCTCGCCCTTGCCTGTCCAAACCAGTCTAGTCCCATACGCCTACCAAACACACCCCAAATGATTAAACGACAAATACCTGATTGTAGATGTACAACTGCCGTCAAATGCTCATCAAGTGAACTTGGTGCAAGCTGGTGATTCAGTTTCTTTAGAACCTCATACTCCCTTCTCGCATTTTCACCACGAACAACTGCATGAAAACATTAATCGTTTAGATAGTCATGCTTTCCTATCGAACAAAAGGTTCTCATAATAATATTCTCGAAACTAGAATGCCCAAAATAGAAAGAAAATGTACTCCCTTCGTCCCAGAATAAATGTCTACGTTACTATTTTGTAACAGAAAAAAGTTCCTTACTAATTCTATCCATAATTATGAGACACAGAAATTCATTACTCATTCTATTATCAAGGGTAAAATTGTCATTCTGTTAATTAAATAGTGTAATTATTACAAATTTCTAGAACAATGCGCCTTTCTCATTGTGGACATTTATTTTGGGACCGAGGGAATAGTATTTTAGCCCATAAAAACAAGTTCTATACAGATTATTTGGAGGTAAAAACAAACTTGACGACATAAGACATAAAACGGGAAATGGGTATCTGAAAAAGAACAAAACCAATGAGTGTATTTCTTACATGACTGAAATGTCACAATTGCAAACTTCAGTTCATGGAAGTCGAGAAGAACTCGGCCACCAAGGACAATGTTTTCCACTTCACACGTGCCTTCGAGAACCCGTTGTCTCAAATTCTCCAATACTTCAACCTATGCACACCAAATTGCAGAAATAAAACAAACATGCAAGATTAAGAGGTTGTTTAACGACTGCTGACCGCTGCTGATTCAATCAGCATGTGTCTGACTGAATGAAGGTATTGACCGAGCACCTACCTGGCCAACACTATTGTTTCACTTACCAACTGAATTTACGTACTTTCCAGGCCTACCCTTGCCACATTTAACGTTTAATGGTAATTTTTTATCGGAAAGCACTTGCAACAGAGTGTTTTTTGAAGGAACAGTATATGTAAAAGAAATTGGAATGGAATGTTATCAGGTTCGACCAAATGTTCGGCTGGCAGGAAATGGAAATGTAATAAATTGGAATCTATCTGTTTGGTTTACAGAGAAATTGGAACGAGATGATGAAAATGACCAAAATACCCTTTCTTTGAATTTTTTTTCTTGAACTATAAATATATTAATTTAGTTGGAGTGGAATTCAATTCCTTCCCCATTATGATGGAATGATGAAATCCAAACCAAACGTTGTAATGTAATTGGCAATTTCAAGTTCATCGAAATTAAACGAACCAAACGCCTCCTAGTTCACGATACGGAACGGAAAGCAAGCAACAAACACCTCTAAACACAAAAAAAAACTCACCTGTCCTACTCGGAAAAATAGTTTCGTATATCCAACTTGATATGTTTGTGGGGAAACACGACACTGCTGCAGAATAGCAACCGACGTACTCAGTGGATCCATACAAATAATATTCTCTGACAAAAGACATCCAAACCTGAAAAAATCCATGAAGACATTAAAAGACAGCAAATTGTTAAGTATATCAACACGGGCATAATGAGGTAACAGGCTTTATTCTTTACCGAGTAGCAAATTCTTGATGGGTTAAGCGTATTGGGAATCGGGATTTTGATATTTGAACTATCTCCATAACTCCGCTGCACCTAAGTTGTTCCAAGACAATATCCTTTTCATACATTCCCGGAAGTTGCTTGGTATTTGGTCTTATGCATCGAATGAAGTGCGGCTTCGAATTTTCCAACTTGTGAATCAATTTGAACAATTGATCCTGTAAGCATCAAAAAAGATTATTATAAGAATTGACAGCATATATATGCTCAAATATGCAAAAATCCATATTGGCCATTCACACAAGCAAGAAAACAGTAAAAACCCTGGTGTATAATGTAACATAATAGCTCAAAATTACACATGGAGTCATGGAGAAATATTAGACTCCCTTAGGGTACACAGACAGGACCCGACGTGTGAGAGTGGGGTGGGGTGGGGTAGGTGGGTGAAAGAATTCTTGAAGGTTTTAGGGTTTTAAAATTGACATGGGTGGTTTAGTTATTTACCAATCTTGTCTCGTCACCCTGATTTTTGTTCGATTTATTTTGGTGGGACAGAAAAATAGCATTTTTGTGTCACTCAAGTCCCGTCCGGTCCGGGTCTAATGTCAGGTCACACCAAAAAAAAAAAGGGACAAAAAAGTGATAGATTGTTTATCTTGAAGGAATTATTTAGGGTTTTAATTTGGCATGGGTAGTTTAGTAATTTAGCAATCTTGTCTCATCTCCCTTATTTTTGTTAAAATGCATTTTTGTCCTGCTCACTATAACAAATTTTTGTACTATCTTGTCCCATCTTGTCCCACGTACCAAACAAAGCACGATAGATTGTTTATCTTGAAGGATACCAGCCACATGCTTAAGGGGCTGTTTAGTTGGTTTGCCATCAAGTCTTGTGTGGAATCTGTGGATAAAGCTGTATGTCTAAATTAATCTGTTTGTATGGGTTGTGAAGATTTATGTTTGGGAAGGTGTTTTCATAGATGGAAGGTGCATGTTTTTATTTGGGAGGAGCGGGTTTGGAAAAAACTTGGCTTTCTGCATAAACCTCCCTCCTAGAAGCTTACTAAATAAATCACTTTCTATATCATTAAGGAACTACCAAACAGCCATGTTTAGTCGACCGAATAAGCTGTGAGCCCATGTGCATACCGTCCAAATGAATGGTTACTTGTATGCACATGTGCATACCGTCCAGATGAACGGTTACCAGGGTGTTCCTCAATCTTTCATTTTTTACGGTTTTTCCCTAAATCTGCCCTATATTTAAATTATATATCATAGTAATTACTTTGTGCCACTGCTACAAAAAAATTCTAGGTCCGCCTCTAACACATATATCCTTTAGAAGCACGTATGCACGAAAGAAAGGCAGGTGGCAAAGAACTTTACCTTGAACTTTGCCCCAACACTTTGCTCGTGTGAATCAGACGCAGCCAGCCCAGTTGTTTGGGACGGATTCATCACACCAGAGGCAAAAATGTTTAGGAGTTTCTTACGGCTTGACGAGAGGAGTTGGATGGTATTGAAATGTAGTGTATCACTGCTCCGTTCCAAGAATCCCGTAGCATCATATTGAACCTGCACACATTTCATTGATTGGTCACACAACGATTGATTATCAAAAGTGTGCATCATTCTAGTAATAATATAATTCCGAAATGTTGGCACATATGAGATGATATATTTCTTATCTTATATATTACAAGTCAAATTCTCCTATTTATAATGTAAAATATAACAACTTCCCGTTATCCAAGGGAAATGAATAACATATAAAAAACAAACGAACAAAAATCCTGATTATATATATTTCATCGTATTATAAAGCATAGGTTCGAATTGAATTCATCAAAGCCGCTTATAGGAAGAGACTTGGTTAGAGTTTGTATGACTCCATTGTTCCCTTTCTTTTAGAAATGAAGTGCCTGTCAATCTCCATATGTTTTGTTCTGTCATGATGAACAACATTCTTGTCAATACGTATGCCTGCTTGGACAATATACTTTCTATCATTACGGATTTAGAAACTTTTAACTCTTATCCTTTAAGAGGCTTTGGGTGTAAAAATAGGCCCAATCGAGCTTTTTCGGGGCTATACGGGCATTTTGAAGAAAAATTAAGCCGTATCAGGCTATAAGGTATGGCCTAGGCTCAGGCTTTGGACTCGAGCTTTCTTGTGCATCTCTAACACGGACCCTAAATTGGTTGTCAATAAAGGCAAAGTTGGTTCCATTTTGGTGCATATCCCCTCACCGCCTTCCAATCCCATTTTCAGTAAGCAAAAAAAACAGGCTTTTCCAGGGACGGGCCCAGGCTTTGGGTGTAAAAATAGACCCAATTGGGCTTTTTGGGCATGGCCAGACTTTTCGGACCACGGTTTTAAAGCCCGGGCATGGCCTGGGCCCTGGCTTCAGACTCGAGCTTCTTTGTGCATCTCTAACACGGACTCTAAATTGTTTGTCATGTTTGCTTCTAGGCCCCAAAATAAAGGTTCTAAAAGTTGGTTCACCAAAATAGAAATGAAGCCAAAGTTAGTTCCCTTTTGGTGCAAATTGCCCTTAAGAGAACATATAAATTAACAAACAAACAAAAAGAAGAAAAGTGTTACAAGTCCAAACTAACAATCTGTATTATATATACAGGGTCAGGTTCACGGGAAAACCGCAAAAAAATGAAAAACCGAGGAACACTCTGATGACCATTCAATTGTATGGTATGCACATGTGCATACAAGTAATTTGCAAGTAATTTGTCCGGTATGCACATGTGCATAACATGCACACATGCATAGAAAACAAGAAACTGCTCCAATTACTTATAGGCGCATGTGTAAATCATACAGATGAACGGTTACCAGAGTGTTCCTCAGTTTTTCATTTTTTTGGGGGTTTTCCATGAACCTCCCTCTCTCTATATATATATACACACACATATAATGCAATTCTTTCTACAACTCCATTTGCGTTGTGCTTTATCATTAATCCAAATGAAGGCAACCATGTGAAAAAAGAATGCAAGTATGAATAGACAAAAAGGTAGGGACCAAATCTAACCTCTCCGGCGTAATGGCGAACCCTAAAAACTCCTCTTTCACAGCTAAAGCGTAAATTAGAACTCAGGTGCCGTTTAATCTTATTGGTAAAGGTCACATCTGTGGCTGTGGAGGATTTCGAACCCTCATCGAGTATCGATATTATCCCCATAGGTTTCTGCAAAACATTAAAAAATGCAAAATAGAAGACAATTATACCTTGGTTAGGAGAAAAAAAGACAATTATACCCTTAACAATAGAGAAAGTAATTAATTTCTCCATATCACGATTATGATTAGAATTGGAAAGTAGACACTTATTTTTGAAAACGGACACTTACTTAGAGACAAACTAAAATAGAAATGTAGACACCTAGTTTGGGAAAGAAATCTCAATAGAAATGTGGACACTTATTTTGGGACAAACAGATTGTTACACTTTTTAATTAACAATATGACAATTTTACCCTTAACAGAGGGATTAATGAATTTCTCCATCTCATAATTAAGGGTAGAATTGGAAAGTATGTACATATTTTTGAAAGTGGACACTTATTTTGAGATAAACTAAAATATTTTTGGAACGGACGGAGTAATTTACAAAAAGAGGATCTTTGGGTATTATCATCATAAAGAGAATCAACTGCTATGCAACACTAGAGGGATTCTGTATAAAATGCATGAATACGCTCAAAATTGATACCTTCTCAAAAAGATCCAAACACTCTTGGTTATCTTCGAAATCTACTTTTTTCCAGTGGATTCCATCCAATTCGTACTCCTGATAATTGTAGCAGCAGCAATTAATATATATATATACATATATATATATATATATGTGTGTGTGTGTGTGTATGTGTTCCTCGAAAGGTGGCTGGGAAAGACAAAAAGACCCGTAATTCTCACCTCTTGTTCAAGCTTACATAAATGCCGAATGAAGTGTTGTTGCAGCCTTTCATCAGCATAGTTTATAAAGAACTGTTGGAAGCTATTTTTCTGAAAATAGAGAAATGAACCTGTCATATGAGAGGATACAGCCAACTGAACAAGCTCTCATAAACAAATTGTGCCAATGCATTATACACAAAAGTTATACCTGAAGTGACTCAAATCCATACATGTCTATAATGCTTATGGTCCGTTCAGTATGTTGCTTGCCTCCCTCAAGTGATCTATTAATTTCTCCCACAAGCCAACTGAACAAGCTCTCATAAACAAATTGTGCCAATGCATCTCTTTTATCAATTGCCTAAACAATAAAGAATCAACAGTCATGTTACAATCTTTGGTGCTGAGATCATGAGATCTATAACCTCATATATGCATATAAGGTCCGGTTCAAGAAAACCGCAAAAGAAATGAAAAACTGAGGAAACCCTGGGTAAACGTTCATTTGAATGGTATGCACATGTGCATATAAGTAACTTGTAAGCAATTTGTCCGGTATGCATACATGCACACGTGCATAAAAACCAAGAAACGGCTTCAATTACTTGTATACGCATGTGCATACCGTCCAGATGAATCGTTACCAAGGTGTTGTTCCTGAGTTTTTCGTTCTTTTGGCAGTTTTCGCCTGAACCTCCCTATATATGGGTCAGGTTCAAGGGAAAACCACAAACAAACAAAAAACTGAGGAACACTCTGGTAGCAGTTCATTTGTACGGTATGCACATGTGCATACAAGTACTTTTTAAGTAATTTGTCATGTATACACATGTGCATAACATGCACATGTGCATAGAAATAGAGAAACAACTTCAATTACTTGTATGAACATGTGCATACTATATAGATGGATGGTTATCAGGGTGTTACTCGGTTTTTCATTTGTTGAGGGGGTTTTCCCCTGAACCTCCCACTATATATATACATATATATGGCTGTGTGTATATATATATATATGTAAGTAGAGGCATAAGATCTTGACGGTTGACATACCTGCTGCAATGTCAATGCTTCGGTAATATCATCCATTCCAGGCTGGTTGCTGTTGGAAGATAAAGCCACCATGAGATCGTCCACCTTGCAGCCCAACAATCTAGCAGAACTTCTACTAGCTTCAAATACACAAAAACTATAAGTTAAAAAATGCATTTTATCTGGTCATATCTATCATTAATGTTTTACCTCATTGATTTGTAATCATAAGAGATAAGACCATCTCATTGGCACAAAGAGATAATCAAAATGCACCAAAAAAGTTCACAAAATGAAACTCGGATAAACAAAGTGAAACTTGAATAACCAACATTTTAAAATCAACCCGGGTTCGAATTCTGCCATCTACATATGTGGTTAGATTAACCGGGTTGTGGGCGAAGCCTACAGTCGCGACTTGCCATGGGGTTAATCTGGGCAAAGCCTGGGATTACCCATTTTTGAAAAAGAAACTAAACCAACAATTGCTTGAAGAAAACCAAGACAGATTGGCATTATGGCTCATATATCACTACGCCAAAACCTTACCAAGAATCTCTCCTAGTGTTTCCAAGTCAAGGAGTTGACTTTAGATGTCCGGTCTTATATTAAGACCAGAACAAGTTTGGTTAGAAATATCCCAGACCAACCATACCCGATATCGTCTGCTTTGTCCATACCTGGACTCGGGGTTTTAAAACGTATCTAGTAGAGGAGGTCTCAAGTCCCTTATAAGGCAACCTTAGTTCCCTCTCCAACCGATGTGGGTTCTTACAATAGCATTAACTAAATGTAAGAATCTACCTTCATCAGCCACAATCTTGACATGTTCTTCTTCGTCAATTACTTCAAACGAAATATTCCCTAGCCATAAGATTGCAGCAAGCAATTCGAAGACATTCTCTTGATCCTCACGAGGAATTCCAAGGATATCAAAGGCTTCCTGCTCAAAAATATAACGTTTCTCATTGAAAATAACATTGGCCCATGAGGCTTTCAGAGACTAAGTTTTGAAGTTACCATTAGCATCTTAAAGTTATGGGAATCATCAGCACCATTGATTTTCAAGCACCCACTTTGATTGAGAAGCTTGTACTCGCTTGCCATTTTTAAATTCAGTCTATCTGTAAAAGGAAGACATGGTCAAACTGAGAATAATGAAGGTATAGTTTTCAATAATTCAGTCAAAAAGCCTAGCTTACAGATTTCCAACTATCCACTTCAACATCTCAACCTATTTTGGAGAATAACCTTTTGACATATCTATACTATATTATAAATCATTTGACAAAAACTCTTAAAAACCATTTTTTATGCATGAAGTACCGTTTATTGATGCATATTACTTAAAAATCAAGATTACAAGTAAATTTTGCATAAGTACAACTTATTAAAGCTTCATATTTGAATTCGTGTAACTAACTGCAGATAAACATAATCAAATAGAGGATAAACATCTCATTTTAAATAAAAAATATAAAAAATATAATTAGGATAATCATTGAGTTCTAACAAAATACTTAATTATTATCTTTGTAAAAGATTATATTATTAAACCAAAAAAAATGAAATAAATAAATACACAAAAAAGAAGAAATTTTAAAGTCATTTTGGTACTAATATCAATATTTTTTTCTATTTTTTATAACATCGACCGAGACAAAAAAAACGAAACATTAAAATCGAGATGTATCTCGCTGCATTGTGCTAGTACCCTTCTAGTTTTTTTAAATGCATAACCTTCGGACAGATTTGAGGCATTCTTGTGTTAAAGAAGGGACATTTTTAGGCATGGGAGTTCTTAAATCTGTGAGAAGGTCATATACAGGGGCAGACCTACCTTTGACCGATAGGGATCACTTGCCCCCAGCAAATAAGCTAAGAAGAGCTGAAAATTCTTTTATTTAGCCCTAATTTTCTGTAACGCCCCCAACACTTTTTCAATCATGCCCCCAACCCTTTGTATGTTGTTCATCTTGCTGCCTTAATGAATAAACTTATCATGTTATTATATGATTTTCTATTTGCTAATTGTTGGGTTTTATAAAAAGATGCAAATTTTATTTATCTTGCTAACCATTATGCTTCTGATTTGGTTTGAATTCTTAGGGGTTGTTTACCAAATGCTTACCCGAGTAAGCGCTTACCAAGTCACGTTACCTTATCGGATGAATATGGTAAGGACCAAGAGTCTTACCCGGAAAGTGAGGGCGACAACTCTTACCACTGTTAGCGCTTACCGGGTAAATTGTTGCATATGATGCCGTTCGATAAGCAAGTGATAGTGTTGAACTTTACCGATAAGCGCTTACAGGGTAAGTATTTGGTAAACGGCCCCTTAGTAAAACATTGCCATTGTTAACTCCAACGACCCACTCACTGCATTTGGTGTCGTAATTCTCGGTAATTTTAGTGTTTTTTGATGATTTCATTATTTAAGTTTGGCGTTTCTTTTGGAATGCTTGTTAAATTTAGTCAGATTAATTGTTCTTTGCCGCCGCTAAAGGTGTTTTACTAAGTATTTTCAATGAAACACGAAACCGTTTAATCCAGACCTCATACAGTACACAGAGGTTATTTGACTTCGGATCCGCCAATTGTCATACATGTATAATAAAAAATCTGTCAGAAGGTCATTTTCCAAAACAATTCGCCTATCCTACATTGATTGCCAACAAGTAAAAGAATTATATAAACCGCATAATTAAAAGATCGAAAGCAGATAACCTTTTAGAGCAGATGGAGCCCCAGCACAAATCTGATAGAAGATATGATACGAACGTTCTCCACGACATATTTGAGACACTCTTGCCTGAACAATATCGAAATTACTTACTAACACTCTAGAAAACGAGAATAAAAGATCAAACTTTCAAAAACAGAAACTAATACTACAAAAGAAAATACCTTCTCAAGAAGAACTGTTTGTAATGTCGCAGATGTTGATGTTGGCATGAACATATCAAAACAAAAGCCAAGTCAGCAAGTCATAATAAAATAGCGATCAACCACTATGAACGGGCTTTAGGGTGAGTTTGGTACGCGTAACACTACAGAACAAAAACTTGTTTTCCCACGTTTGATGCAACAATTAGACCAGGACTTGACGGGACTGAGTGGGGGAAAAATGCTTTTTTTCTATCTCACCAAAATAGATGAAATAAAAATCCAAGAGAGATGGTACGAGACTGGTAAATTACTAAACTACGATGTCAAATTATTCTTTCATCACCTACCTGACTCTCGCCCGCCCTGCAATGGCAGACCCATAATTTTTGCCGAGCGGGTGCACCTTTAAGGTGGATCAAAGTCGCCTGATGTATTTTTAGCCGAATTCCACTGTTTCAAGGGGTTCTTTAAGTTTTTTGGATGATTTCAAGGATTTTTTAAAGCTTTTTCGGCTGATTTCGAGGGACTTCTTTTCGGTTTTCTAATATCCCAGAGCACCCCTCAAAGTTTAGTGGGTGCACCTTTCGTACCCCCAAAAAAATTTCTACTTGCAAAAATTGGTTTGAGCGGGTGCACGGGACCCCGCTGAGGCCTTAATAGGTCTTCCCCTGCCGCCCATTGGAGTCCAGTCGCACCTTGTCACATACCCAAACGCACCCTTGCACAGTAAATATACTTACTTGTTTGGATACAAGCACCACATATTGTCCCTTCTGCACTATAACGAATATCAATTAATTTCCCCTGCACCGCACAAAACTCTAAATCAGATATCGTTCAGGGAATTCTAGCAATCAACCACTAGGAATAGAACCCACAAATCGACTGGAATTGCAATTCCTGGACGTTTTTGCATTCCCAAAAGCTTCCAGTATACAGCTGCTCTGAATTACTTTACATGCCATCTCACAATTTTCGCCCCCAACGGATGCCAGATACTGCATTGCAATTTTTGCTGTTTCGGTCTTTCCAGATCCACTTTCGCCACTATACAATAACGGGTGCAAGTAAAAAATGAGATATAACATGCACCATTGTGATTTGTGATAATTGCCGAAAGTCAAAATACTGACCTGATAATAATAGACTGATTTCCACCATCTGCAAGTATCATCATGGAAAGAGTATTAACATTTTGATCAAATGATTCAATGCATATATAATATAGATAGAGGAAGGTTGAAGGGAAAACCCCCAAAAAAATGAAAAACTAAGGAACACACCCCGGTAACCATTCATCTAGACGGGATGCACATGTGCATACAATTAATTGAAGTTGTTTCTTGGATTATGCACGTGTGCATGTTATGTACATGTGCATACCAGACAAATTGCTTAGGAATTACTTGTATGCACATGTACATACTGCCTGAGGAACGTTACCCGGGTGTTCCTCAGTTTTTCATTTTTTGCGGTTTTCCCCTAAAGCTAACCAATACGATATAATCCATAAAAACTTTTTTATTATTTTTGCCACTCACGTTTCATCATGTCACTATATGCAGTATCAGCCAAAGCATATACATGCGGGTTGTCCAAAATCTTCTCCCTATAAGCTGTGATAAAATCGCTTCCAAAAATTTGGACATCTTTGAAAGGATTGATTGCTAATAGGACGGGCCCTGCCTTACTCTGAAAAAGCAAACCAACATCTAAGCCAAAAAGGTGGCCACAAGAAGACAATTATGTGGGCAAATATAATAAGATGTGGATGATATACATACATAAATTACATCACGAGCGTATCTATATTGGAGATTATGAAGAACTGATGGTTCGTTCAAATAACCAAGCTCAATGAGATCATCTACTCCATCGAGGATTTCTGTATTTGCAGGTAAGAGATCTCCGGTAGATACCTTCACAGCCTACAGAAATGACAATAGTAGTAAATAAGGATCAAAATGGGGGCGGTCTTTTAGGTGTTACCTAAAAAAAGGTTTGCCTTAAGCAATAGACTCACACTTCCATCCAAAAGCATGACGGTGGCGGCTTCACCTACGGTTGATTTGATCTTTGCCAACTCCCATTGATCATTCCGAGGCCTACACCATACTCGAAGTTTCTGAAACAAACCATTTCAGGATTAGTATTTAACAATGGATTTATTCATTGTATATAAAGAAATAAAAACTAACAAACTACGAAGACTGTGCACTTCTAAACACGAAGCAGCAAGCAAACCGACACGAAAAAGAATGAAATGTAGTGCATTATATAAGACATCTTCACATGTGAATCGTGGTACTTGTAACATATTCCTATGCTCATTTACTGATGAATCAGAAACAAACCACTTCAGGCATTAGTATTTACCAACGGATTTAGTCATCGTATGTAAAAGAACTAAAAACTAACAAACTACAAAGATCATGCACTTCCAAACACAAAACAGCAAGCAAACCGACACAGAAAAGAATGAAATCTAGTGCATTATATAAGCTATCTTCACATGTCCATCATGGTATTTGTGACATATCCATTTGCTCATATACCAATGAATCGGAAAACAGGATAAGAGGTGTTTGAAACTTTGAAGCAGTTGAAGTAATAAGTCAGAATGGCAATCTACAAAACCATAAAGGTTACCAAAAAACTATAGAAAATGATCAATCCATCGCTTCATACATGATCAAAAAAGGCAATATATAACTATGTAAATTTACAAGTGAATAGTGAACATTTACCTTCTTAACGAAATATCCAATACTATCGTCCCATTCAGCCTCCGGTGACGTAGACGGAGTGGCAAGGCTGGCACCACCGTTCTCCGCCAATCTCTGTTCAATTACCGGCGTCATGGTGTACGGTGATTCACCACCAGCCGCCGCTTCTTTCACTTTTTTCCGGCCAAAATTAGAACCACCTTCACTAATACATTTAACATCTTGCTTTTTGCTGGTAGTAGTATCCGGCGGTGCAACATATTCCATATCAAACTTCGCCGGCAGCAGCCGCTTAGGGAGGCGTGCCTTGGAGGTTGGCCGTGACGGCAACGCCGGCGGCAAGTCCTTTTGATTCTCGGCCTCATCTCTCCGGCGAAGAGAGTCGAGCATTTCCTCCAAAGAACTCCGAGTTACCGAAAGTGGCGAAACTAACATTTTTCCCCAAAATTACAAGACCACGCTCCAATTGAATTCAAAAAACCCCTAGATTAAGGAATAAACTAGAATAATTTTGCTTCAAAATTAGAACAACGCCGATGATAACGACATTGTTGAAAAACTCTTTAAACCCTAATTAGCCCAATCGAGATCGATTATCAAAAGATAAAAAGAATCAACACCCCTAATTTCTCGAATTCCAATATTGAATTCTTCCGAACCCTGCTACAAAAACCCAATCCGAACAACTCAAGCTTCCCCTTTAATTTACTGGATTTGACGATTGAAAAAACGAATTTGAAAACCAAAATCCAAGATAGTGGAAGTGGGTTTTACGCCAAAATCGATGGGTCTTCCGTCTTTCTACTGTGTAAAAGCACGAGTTACAAGATTTAGACGACGATCGATGAATTCTGCTCCCAAAATCAAACCAGAAATGATGAATTTATGGCATGGAAACAAAAATATCCGTTGAAAAATAAGCTTTTCGAAAAGCCTGGCGTGGTTGTTTCAAACTCATGAATTGATTTTGAAAACAAAAATCGAAAACCCACAATGATTTTTTGTTTGATTCTTGAAGGGGAATTTTGAATTTTTCAAGAAGGGTGATGGTGGCGCGGGTTGCCGTATTGAGATAAACCGCTCGGATTGAAATAGAATTTCAGGGTAAAATTCGGCACCCAGATAAACATAGTGGCAGTGTAATTTTAACGTTAATGTTCATGATGATTGGCTTGTGAAATTACCAATTTGTCCTCTCAAGGGTGTTGTTATATGCCCCTTTTTAATGTCATAATATATCGAAAATATTAAGGGGCTGTTTAGCAATTGTTGAATGATTTTGTGCAAATTGATTAAGAGGCTCTCATGATATAGTGCAAAATAAAATATCAGTGTTTGGTAATTGTGTACAATAAAATTAGGGCTCTTAATGGTTAAGAGAGATCCATGATACAAAATCATTCAGAGGGTTTTAGAACCATTAAAATACAAACTTTTTTTTTTGCCAAACAAAATTCACCTCTTAACGATTCAGATGTTGCCTCTTAATTAAACTATTAAAAGGTAAACAAACAACAAAAATATGTTTTAAGAGATTTTGACTTTTGGTTATCTGTTTTTTAGAATTTACAGAAAATCAGTTGGAGATGCTCTAATGTTGATGTATACAATGAGGAAATCAATATATAGGGTGCATTTAGTCGCCTATTTTACTTTATCTGAATTAAATTGGTTCCATTCTTATCAGCTTGTGAAATAGACACGATGTGTGATTTATTGAAATCATATTTTATTTATAAAAAGTACAATCCGTAAATTGTAAAATTGACAGTGGTAAAATCTTTGCCTGTTTTGATTCAAACATGAAAAAGTTGATAAAAAAACGAAGATATTAATCTAAAAGGGTTTAATCATTTGAGAACATCAAAATTTATGAGATCGGTGAGAACTTATACATTAAGTTGGGTTTCACTTGATCTTTTTCCATTTAAGTATAATATTTAATATGCAGTGTGTTTGTTTCATATGTATCTGGTTCACAATGTAAGACTTTTTTACCATTTTTTTATTTAAAAAATATTTATATTGTGAATCGAATACATATAAAACAAATATGATTTAAACCAAGTATATGTTAACCGCTACATTAGTTTAATAATATTGTGTTAAATTATATATTCCATTTAGTATTATTTTTTAAAAAATAATTAATATTCAAGCATATATTTGAAATTTTGAAAATTGGAAATAATTAGCATCTGAAAAGGACACGTTAGGAATTTTTGAAATTTGAAGCCAATCATGCATGCACACTCGCTCGTTTTTTAACAACTAAATTGAAATTGTGGAAATTAAAATAAATATATTGAAGTTTGACTTTTATACCCCTATGACTTTGAAGCAGGTAGACGTGCTTTACGTTTAAATAATTTTTTTTCAAAACCTTTTATTTATCATATAATTTAATATAATATTAGCATAAATGAGTATTACCTTACTAGTATAAATATACTAGTTGTATATCTCCGCAATATGGTAGGAGTCGTAAATTTTAACGATTTTTAAGTTTCATTGGTTTTATTATATAAGATTTAACGATAATATAAGTTACACTTGTTTTTACATATTATACAATTTGAATAAATAAGAGTTATGATTCAAATTACAGTCTATCGATGAAAAAAATTGTATGACAGTTTAAAATCCAACATATTTAAACGACTCCACAAATGTATATGATTTACACCAAGAGCAAATAATTAAGAGATCGAGAGCGAGACCGAGAGTTCTAGAACAATTGAATGGGGGTGAATAAGAGAACTTTTAATAACTCATGGTGAATACCGGTTTGGATCTCACCTTGGGGGATGGGGAGAAGACATAGAGGTATGAAAGGGTGAATACATGAGTGAAATGTGTCAAAAGTATTTTGGAAACATGAAAAGAAAATGTAATAATAAAGTGCATTGGTAACTTGCACTATATATTATTTTAATCGTATATTAAAAGATTTTAAGACTTAATGCATATAGTAGTAGTACTTAATCATTATGAGTTGTTTCTAAAACTTGCAAGACTTTATGCATAAATGTATAGTACTTTGTGAATTAAAATTGTTTTTAAAACTTTTGATAAATTTGGTTTATAAGATAGTATAGATATGCATTGTCAACTTCAAACAAGAAGTCAATTTTTTCACGAAAAGTTTCAATATCATATATGATTACACACATGATACATAAGTTTTGTATATTATATTGAAACTTTTTGCATTATTGTAAAATGTTTAACTTCTCACATGATATATATATATATATATATATAAGCAGTGTTGGATTGAAATTTATATTAAGCGATAGCACAAAACAAATTACAAAGATAACATCTTTAATGGTCATATAAAAGAAATATCAGCCAAGTTGATCGGTGGTGTGGGTTTATTATATCTTAAGGCTTACAAAATTCAATCTATACAAACAGATTAATCCACACAGACAATTTTATACATACAAAATTTAATAAAAAGTCAACCAAACAACCTAACACTCATTCCATCTCCTACTTTTAAGTAAGATATACTGGATATGTTTAGTTTGCTTTGTTATTACAAAAAAGTACTCTCCACGACTATCCCCGCAACACTGACCTGATAGATAGATAGATTCAGATGAAAATCCTTATACAGTAAGTATAAGGTATGATATTTGATCCTATGCACTGCTCGCCACTCATTGGGACATACAGTTTACCTATCCGTAACGGTCGTTGAACCAGTATAATATACACCTTACAACTGATAGGCATCGGTCATGCACTGATGCACATCTTATGAAAAACAACTGTTTGATTATATAAATGATATAAGTTATGAAATGAAATCAAAAAATGTAAAAACCATTATTTTTGAAAGAAAAATAAATAATTGTGGAATAATAATTGCAAAACTAATGTACTCTTAATTTTGTGTTTGGACATTTATGGGGTACTTGTTTTTTTCCTTTTATCTCTTCTACTTTGTTCCCAACATCCCCACCTCTATTTTCTTTCCATTTGTCTCCCAAAAAGGATTTTTTTAATATTTAATTTAATTAAAATAACTTATTTTTTATCAAAGCATCTTTATACTTGTTTATGGATTTATAATTATCTATATCTATAATATATTATAAAATATTTAATAAAAACTCTTAAAAATCATTTTTTATACATGAAGTAATGTTCATTGATGCATATTACTTAAAATTCAAGATTATAAGTGTTTTTGCGTAAGTACAACTTATTAAAGCTTCATGTTTAAATTCGTGTAACTATCTGCAGATAAACATAATTGAATATAAGATAAATATCTCGTTTTAAATATAAAAAATGTAAAATATAATCATGATAATTATTGACTTCTGACAAAATACTTGAACATTATATTTATAAAAAAAATATATTATTAAACCAATAATAAAAAATAAATTAAAGAAATTTAAAAAAAAAATTAAAATAGTTAATTTGGTATTAATATCAATATTTTTTTAATTTTTTATGATATATTCATATTTATTTTTTATGAAAAATAAAAACATTATCGTTTTCTCAAAATCATATAAAATTATATTATAACATCGACTGAGACAAAAAAAAAAAACGAAACATTAGAATTGAAATTTACCTCGCTACGTTGTGTGAGTATCCTTCTGATATTCTATAAAGCTTCTAATCAAAATCATGTATCGATTCATAGTTTATAACTTTAAATAACAATAAAAGTAAATAAGTAAATTTATTAATTAATTAATTATTAAAAGTATGGGTGGAGTCAGTTCATTCTTTTTTTCTCACAATAATATTAACCAATTTTTTCAAACTGATGTGATAATGTAACGGTCTAAGACCCACCTGTTAAAAATGCCCTTAAGTGATACATCGTTTTAAATAATATTTAAACAATACAAGGGATTGTTTGTTTACATCTTAATAGTTTCATTCTGTATCGTTAAGATGTGAATTTTATTTGACCAAAAAAAAACCTGTTTCTTAATGGTTATAAAACACCTGAATAATTTTATATTTTGAGTCTCTCTTAACCATTAAGGCCCTTAATTTCATTGTAAGAAATTACCAAACAATTATATTTCATTTTACACTATATCACGAAAGCCACTTAATCATTCTTCACCAAATCATTCATCAATTGTCAAACAGTCCATAATTATTTAATTGCTATTTAATCCTTGATAAAGCGGGAAAAAGCAATGTTAGTGAAGGACAAATGTGTAATTAAATGATGTTGGTAGGGGCAAATTAGTAATTTAAATGCAATGGTAGTGATGGTCACATAACATTGGCATGTGGATGGATGGACACTTTAAAAGTTACATGTCATCATTCCTCTTCCAATCTACCATGTGGAAGTGGAATACATAATTCATTATCCATCCCTACCCCTCTCCCCAAAATAAGTGGGAAGCATGACCATTAGGGGTAATCTCGTAATTTCACACCTAAAGGACCAAAATGTGGCTGTGATCATACTTTGTTTGCACTCAAACTATGTTTAATGTGATGATGAAAAATTATTACAATTTATAGTTTCATAAAAGTATCTATAATAAATGTATGTAATTTAAAATCTTATATATATATATATATATAATTTTAATTAAATTAATAGAAATAAATATCCAAGTTGGGGATTAATATTAAAAAGGGCAACACCCACAACACATCAGTTAGCATATATATTAAGGGATTGTTTGTTTATTTTTTAATAGTTTCATTAAGAGACAACATCTGAATCGTTAAGAGGTGAATCTTGTTTATTAAATTTTTTTTTGCCTCTTAATGGCTTTAAAATCATATGAATGATTTTGCATCATGGACCTTTGAAAAGTCCAGATTTCATACGAATCTTGAAGCAATCTTCACTAAATCTCAAGAACAGAATATGAATTCAATACAGATTGGAGAGAGAGAGAATATTTGCTGTCAAATCACCTTTTTGATTAATGATGTAATCAATCTGTAATTACAGAATACACTGAAAAGACTATTTATACTAAAGAAAATAATGCTAAACT